TGGCGGTGTAGACCCGACTCAACACAGCCACTAACGAGGTGGTGACTAAACCATCTTGATCGGCTAATGAGAATGCACGACTATTGATCTCCTGTATGAATCTCTTATGAAATAGTTTTGAGTTCTTATATTTTATATTTGTGTTAACGGGTGTATCATGGTGTCATGTCTTTTTAATGCTGTTTTTTTCTTCATATCTTGGAAATTGCGTAAAGTTATGCACGACTATACTCTCCTGTTTTTACCTCACTCACACACTTAGAGTGGTACACACTTAGCTCTCTCACCCTCACAGATTTGGAGTGGGATACTGATGGCTGTTTGGATGGTGTTGTCTCACTTCTCTCTCTTGCTCTCGGCTTCTCCTTTGGTGCAGCACAAGCACTCTCTCTCTGGCTCTTCTATGCAACAACCACAGCACACGCACACTTGCATGCCCATTATATAAACAAATGAAAGAAGGCTGATTTTTATCTCCAAAGAGCATCCACGTGCATGCCAAAGAGACCATAATGATGTTGGTCAAATAGCCTCTCCACCAAAAACATCATTATTTGCTAAAGACATTTATCATTTTGTCCTTATTATATTGATTTCATCATTGCGTTGGATATCCATCTTTTGACTACCGAAAGTGTATTCTTTCATCATGGGGTGGACCAATATGCCAACAGTAAAATGGCTCACATTTAGTATAGGAGGAGGCGACCGGTCGCATGCAGTGCTGTGCTGATCTTTTTCACGCGTTTTTCAACAACAAGATAGGAGTGAGTGAAAGTCTTGTTTCATTTTCACAAAAAAATGCAGGCAGAATTTTAACCACAACGTGAACTCACGGCAAAATGTGAGCTAAGGAAGGAAAAGGCAAATGTCAACACGTTCAGTCAATTCTGTCAAGTCCAAACACCTCATTCGTCCTTGTCGTATAACAGCATGATGCCGGTGCTAAAAGGGAAAAAATATGTCAATTTAACATAGAATATCATTATCGGTAATTTTCAACCATATTTACTAAAACATAAATTTTATGTTGAATGGAATTGTTCGATAAAACAAGTGGGTGTCATGCATTTTCATTATTTCCAGATTCAATTTACCAATCGATGGTTAAATTCATGATATCAACAACTGGAGTTTACTGAAGCATTATGGCTTGGCTTCCACATACATAAATTTATATGTTGAGTTAATCTTTAGTATCATTATCGCTGATTGTCAACAAAGAAAAAAAAACCTTCAAGATTATGTGAGTAGTACGAAATACAAGAGTGTTTCAAACGCTTGACGCACATTGAAAACCAAAGCAAACAGGTACCAATAAGTACCAGTAGGTACTCAAACTCTGTCAGTGCATATAAGTATCACAAGGTACTCAGAAAGGTATCTGTAGTCATGCAAAAAGGACGCAATAAGACTGACTAGATACTCAAACTTCGGGTCCATGCATTAAATCAAACTCCTGCATAAATGCCTCTGCCATAGAAAGCTGAGTACTTTCATTGTTCTACGTCCTTTGAGTGGGCTGCATATTCTCAGTAACTGGAGCACCAATGTCTGCTTCAGGAGATGAAGACCTGCAACCAGTGCACAACAAAAATTCATACATAATGACAAATTGTTAAAAGAAAATATCTTCAACTAAAATAGACGATATCTTTGCTTACGGGATCCCAAGTCTTGGACATCTCCTTCTATCATGATCACTCTTCCTGCACCCAGTGCACCGACGTTTATGTCGTCCCGCAGCCTTCTCACGTTGTCCTTTAACTCTTTTCGGACGACCTTTTGATTTTCTCGGTTTGGATCTTTTATTCTCACTTGGACAGAACTAGTTTCCCCCTCGTTATTGGCTTCTTCAAGAGGAGCTCTTGATGACACCAAGCTAATAAGCTTCCCACGAATGTCGTTAAATGTTTTTTGCAGCAACTCAGAACCTTCATCATACAACAACGCCGAATCAATCAAATCGGCTGCAACTTTGCACAATGTTGATCTCTTAACCAAAATACAACCATCAACGTTATCTTTAACTTCTTTGCCATCCTTATCGAAAACTACACCAGCCTTCGCACTTTTCATCCATCTTTTTAATATATACTTCTCTGGCAAATACGCAACCTGTTTCATTCTTAAAAATGATATGATGTGTCGGCACGGAATACCACGAAATTCGAATCCACGACAGCTGCAAAAAGCTTGATCAATATCTTTTTCATGCACAATCTCCTTTGTCCTTGTAACCCCCAGTTGTACCCTCTCAATAACTTTGTATGTACAAAGAGTGTCATCTTCCTTTATAACTTCAAAGAAGCATAAAAGGCTTTCGAAGTCCTCACGCTCAAAGATGTCAAGAATTCCCCTTGTGTAAATGCCTCCCATTTGAAGCTGCATTGGTGTGAGAAATGGAGTTGGAGGTTTTTCGTTCTGATCAACATGATCAGCCAATAATTCCTTGTGCCTCTGTGAAGCAAGAGCTCTTTCAAAACGTACTATAAATTCCATCAACGTGTTGTTCTTGTTAATATATTGTTTGAAAAACGAATGACAGCTTTCGGCCCGTTGACTACTTGACATCCCAGCCGAAAACACATGTTTTACATATGACGGAACCCAATTCTCCCGCAAGGCATGAATTGAGGTCAGCCACGTATGCTCTTTCAGCCCATTGTTTGTGATAACTTCTTCCCATTTCGCATCAAATTCTTCTTTGGTGTCCATATCCCATATGCAATTGCACAGCTCTAAAAAACATTCTCCTATGCCGGTTTTCTCGGTCAACTTATTCATTATATGCCATATGCAATATCTGTGGAATGTTGTAGGGAGACTTACTGCAATTGCCTTTGCAATGGCTGCATCTTGATCAGTAATGATCATTTTCGGTGCCCCACATGGCATGGCTTTCTTAAATTCCTCAAACAACCAAATAAATGCTTCTGTGCTTTCACTGGTTAAGAAAGCACAACCAAACAATATTGTCTGACGATGATTATTAACACCTATTAAAGGCGCAAACACCATGCCATAACGGTTGGTGTTGAAAGTCGTATCAAATACCACCGCATCTCCGAAACTACCATAAGCTCGTCTTGACCTTGCATCTGCCCAAAATACATTACCCATTCGTCCTTCTGAATCTACCTCTATCTTGAAATAGAATGATGCATTTTTTTCTTGTTCACGCAAAAAATGCTCATTAAGAAGATCTGCGTCATGACCAGTCACCTTTGCTCGCATGTCTCTTTGGTAATTATAGACATCTTTCCTTAAAAACCCAATATTTTCCATTCCGCCTGCTTGCACCTCAAGAATGCTTAATTGTTGATGTACCGGGATATTAACTTTTGAAAGATATGCATTATATACCTTTGCAGACTCAGTAACTTTACGGTGGCATCTCAACAAATGGACTTGGTCGTATGTTGTCATTTCATGGTTGTGTTCCTCCTTGAAGGCTACAACAATGTACTTGTTCTTCAAAGATGGCAACAAAACAGCAAGTTTAGCCAAGCAACCAGTTCGAACCCATCCTCGTCTTCTTTTCTTACCCGTAATATTGGTTGTCCCTTGTTTACAACATACAAATTCTTTCCTTATTATCTCCCCCGTCACACTTGACGTTTTGGTTGTAGAACAACGAACACCAAATCCTGCTTTTAGTGCATACAGATTATACATCTTCAATGCATCCTCAAGGGAATCAAATTCAAGTCCTAGTTTTGGTTTGAACTCCACACTAACTTCCGGTGTCACCTGTGCTTCAGACTCCATTTCACAATTCTTGCAATTTAACCCTGAAAATCATATTACCATCATAATAATATTGCCACATACATTCAAAGAGCTTTCAAATATCACAATACTATATGCAAAATATAAACATAGAAATATCAAATTTTCAACAAATGTCAAATATACTATCGAAACTTTAGTACTAATGGGGTCTGAAACGAAATATTCTATGAATCATTAGTGAATACACATGCTTTATCTAAGAATACTTTTGGAGTCTCTAGTGACACCTTAAACAACCCACATCCAAACTAGCGTAAATTATGCCCAGATACTTGGTCAAATATTTTCCTCTAGTATGCTATAATTAACAAATATTGGATATCAGTTACCTCGTAAGTGATTTTGATCTTCAAATTTTCAACAAATATCAAATACACTATCAAATGTTAGTAAATAATGAAGTCTGAAACGAAAAATTTCAACTATTAGTGAATACAAGTGCTACACCTAAGATTCATTTTGGAGTCTCTAGTGAAACCTTAAACAACCTAATTCAAAATAGCGTAAATTATGCCCATATATTTGGTCAAAACATTTCCTCCAGGATACCAAAATTAACAAATACAAGATATCAATTACCTCATAAGTGATTTTGATCTTCAAATTTTCCACAAATATCAACTAGACTATGCAACATTAGTAAATCGTGGAGTCTGAAACAAAATAATCTATGAACCTATTACTGAATATAAATGCTACACCCAGGAGGCCTTTTGAAGTCTCTACTGAAACTTTAAACAACCTACATCCAAACTAGCGTAAATTATGCTCATATATTTGGTCAAAACATTTTCTCAAGTATAAATAGAGGCTTACCTCGTAATTGATTTTGAGCTTTTAAATTTCAACAAATATGATATTGTCGTCGATTTGAAGCAATAACCCCAAACAAATTCGATCTTCGTCTTCTCAACTATTCGAACTCAACGCTAGTTTCCAGTTTTCTCCAACACTTTCAAACGACGACTCCAGTTTTCGATTTGCTCCAACACTTTTTCCTCCAAGTCAATGCTAGTTTCGACTGTGCTCAACGATTCTATCAAGGTGTTACGCGCACCAGTTTTTTTGGTACCAGATGGGTCCTCAAGTCTTCACAAGTGCACAGAACACAATCATCAAACCAGAAAAATGAAAACACAAAATGAATTACAGTGCATGTGCTCATCAGGATAATACCTTGCTTTGTATTATTTGAATCACCAAACCAGAAAACTGAACAGCTCTCTTTCCTCAAACAAAATAGCAAATCAGAAAACAGAAGAAAACCATGTTCTTTGAGACACAGAGAGAGAGAGAGAGAGACAAATGGAGACAAAGAAACAGAACTTTTTTTGGAGGGAGATATTGTGGTCTTCAAGAGTGTGGCGTGTGTTTTGGAGGGAGGAAGCCACGTTCCAGTGGTACGGTTTTACCCACTTTCAGTTACACTTGCTTCTTATCATCTGTTAGATTTGATCCAACGGTGTTCTGATTTAGAGGTTCGCAAAATGACGTTCCCACCAGAGAATAGCCCATAATAATAAAAGCCGATGACAACACGGGGCCTTATCGTTGACAAGACAAAGGAGGCTCTATCGTATTCGTACCCGTTGTTGGTTCCTCAAATTTGCTTGTTTTTTGTTTTCCATGAGCCCCATGTTTCTCATATCTTATTTATTGTACTTTTCAGATTCCAAAAATATCCCAACTAAGTTATTATTGTACTTTGTATATTAACGTTGGAATCAATGTGGAAACAGTTTTTAATTAGATTGTATATAATTACAAACGTTTAATTTGAAAAGATCTCCAAATGATTGTAACTTGTAATGGATGAAGGAATTAATTCAGAAACATTTTTAAAATTTAACAATAAATTCATAATCGGTTTGTTTAATAAAAATGTTTATGTATTTTCATTTTATGAATTATACATGACTAATAATCTACTTTATAATTGTTTATGAATAATACTGTACATACTAATTATGTTGAAAAAATAATGTATAAGTGAAGGGAAAGGGAAGCTGTGCCTTCAAATGACTGGTGGATATGAATTACCAAGCTGTGGGACATTCACGTTGAGGCAAGGATGCTCCGCCACGTGGTCTGGAGGTGGAGCACCGCCACTCACACCTTTGTACGTTCATGGGGTGAATTTGCTCCCACTCTCGAAGACGTAGCAAACATAACTCGTCTCCCGGTCTGTGGTGATCGAAGTCCCTTTGATATTGCTCTTACTCCGGCAGAGATAGACACTCTTGCAGTCCTGCGAAAGGGCGCTCCTACTTCTCCCAGCACCTCACTCCGCTTCAGCAACTGGATACAACATTTTGGTGATGCGAATAGGCGGGGGCCTTGGCGGTTGGCTACGTTTATAGCACTGTGGCTCGGGCGGTTCGTGCTTTGTGACTTCTCCCAGGACTGCCTTCACGAGCGAGTATTTTCTTTGGCTTTGGCTATTGCTCGTGGTGACTCGATTCCCTTAGCCCCGATGTTCCTAGGGCACTTGTACAGGTTGCTCGATCAGTGCCATATTTTGGAGAAGAATGCAGCAGGAACCATGGGCGTAGAGACTCTTCTGAATTCCGGCTTCTTGCAGGTGTTTTTGTGGGAACACCTCAAGGGGCTGGATGTGTGCCCGCTCCCTTATTCGCATGCTCTGCAGTCTGCTGATATGGGCAATGGTTCTTTCATGCCGGATAGTCTCCCTCTTGTCTGCAGGTGGTTTAAGCAAATGCAGAGGAAAGGCCAGAATTTTCTAAGGCTGCTGGATGATATTGAGTACTTCATCTTCCGTCCATATGGCACTTCAGCGGAGACCTTCACCTTTGTGCCCTTTTATGCTGACGTTGACGACACCGTTGAAGTTCCAGCAGTAATGTCTCAAGGCTGCTGCTTCAGAAGATATTCCTTGTTGAATGCCGCATGCCTTTCACTGCCCACCTTAGGCGACAGACGCTCGGAAGTCTCTGTAATTTACTCACCGCACCGGGTCAGACGGCAGCTTGGACTTGACCAAGGCGTGCCAGCCGATCCTAACCATGGCGACCCCTGCCTACTTCACAGGGTCTTTTGGAGTAATCGTAACGTACCGGACAACGCTAGGCCCCCTTTCCTAGCCGGCAAGAGAAGAATTGGTGGTTTCTCACCTGGTTATCAAGCCTACTGGAACCGCTGCCTTGCTTCCATGCGTGAGTTCCAATCCTCCCCTTGTGACAGATTGCCTCCGACTGTCGCTTTCCTTGCTGGCCTAGTATCGGAAGAGAAAGCAATTCCCTTAAGCGTGAAGCGCAATCTGCCCTTTATTTCTAAAAGTGGTGACGTTGTCGGGGAGTTCTCCAAGACGAAGCAAAGATAGAGTCCCTGCAGTTCTGGGAAAAGGGCAACGCCGGCATCAGGTAAACAGAAACGGGAGGAGGAGCCAAGCGTGAAGAAGGAGCGGACCGCGGGTAAACCTAGAAAGTTTATTCCAAAGGTGGCGGCGAGCGGCCCTCCTCGGACTAGAGAAGTAACTTCCCCAGCACGTCCACAACCTTCAAAATCTGCTACTTCTAGGAGCCAGAGCCATGCCGGCAAGGTGCTGGAAAGCACCCCTCTTCGTAGTAAGTACCAACTACTTCCAAGCTTTCAAGTTGTTTTGCTTCCACCCGTCCTCCTTTTTATATTCCTCGCCACACGTGTGTGTGCCTATATATTTATGTACTTATATACTTTTGCTCTGCTTTTCTCTTTTTTTTCTTTTCCCTCCTTTTTTTTTTTATAGGGAAAATGGGGACCACCCCGAAGAGGAAAAGGGGCGATACGACTCCTGTGACCCCACACACGTCTCCAAAGCGCCGTAGTGTGCGCATCCGACAGGCGAGATTCACTGGTGTTCATGCAAAGAACAATGAAGCTTCCGGGGCTGGCGCCGTGGTGACCATTGATGATGATAGTGATGGTGGTGATGCCACTGAGACTGAGACTAGTGTTCCGGCAGAAGAGGATGTTGGCGATATGGATGGCACTCGTGAGGATTTTGGTGAGGGTGATCATCACGATTATGCTGAAGATGCATTTGCACATTCCAGCAACTACTCAGAAGAGCAGGGTGGCTCGGATGCTTTTACTAGTAGCAGTGTGCGTCACATCAGCATTGAATCGGTACCCGACACGTCTCATGTCCTGTTTTGCTTTTATTTCCTTGTTCCATGAGTTGCTTATTTAGCCTTTGCCCTTACCTTACAGATTATCGACGTTACTGATGATTTGAACCTTGCTGCTGCTGTTGCTGATCTTGTACAGAGTACCCAGGAGGTACCCGATGATTTTGAGGTCCGTGACTCTCCATCCTTTCTTATTTATGCTCCTTCTTTAGTAATCTTGCTTCGTACCAGCCTATTTTCTTCTAACATTTATCCTTACGTTGTCTCGTAGGTTGTTCTTTTGCTTTGACTGGCCTGACATGTTGAAGAACACATTAGCTCCAGCTTGTATAACTTCGTTGTGTTTAGGCCGTGTTTCCTTTTGATGTTCCAACACTTGTGCTGTAACGCTGCTGTGTTCAAGCTGCTGGAACCTAAGTTTTTCTTTCTTTTAGACGCTGGGGACAGATTGTAATCTTTGTTTGGTATATATATATATATGCTGCCTGGTTGGTGGAATTTGTTCTTGTGAGTTGCTTGAGGTCTTTTGAGATTTTCTGACAGATCGGATATCTTTAAAACAAGGCATATGCTGCCAAAATTTTGGTAGGATCCGAATCCCTAAATTTCCTTTGCATGGCTTGTCTAATTATCAGGCCTGAAGAACACCTTCTTGTCATGCCTTAAAAGGGCCAGACTAGTGTGCATGATTTTTACCAAAATTCCAAATGTTTTGAATTGCTTATTGAGAGAGTACAATGCTTCCATTGTTCCAGCACCTCAAAAATTGCATGCCCGTTTTTTTTTTTTTTTTTTTGTAATAGCTTGGCTTATGCGTGATTAGTAAGTTTGGGATACGTAAAGGAAAAGTAGTATTTCAAAGACAGATTTTTTTTTTTTTCTCAAAATACTCCTTCATTTTCATTGCAAAGCTCATGCTACCATAGTGGTGCATCATACAAGAATTTTCCAAAATACCAAGTGAGAACATAGAAGGAGTTCATATCCGAAATGAAAAGAAATGCAATAGCGAAAGTGCAGAATATAAAATCAACTTAGCAGTAGTACGGTTTGAGCCACTTCCCGTTGATGGGATCCGTTAGCACGCCTTCTTTGACAGAGACCAAGCGATAATAGCCGCTGCTGTAAACTTCTTTGACTGCAAATGGTCATTCCCATTGCGGGGCAAACTTGGAAGGTCCCGATACTTGTCTCCTCACATGCTCGACGACTTTTAGCACGAGGTCTCCTTGCTTGAAGGCTTGCAGCTTGACTGTTCTGTTGTAAGCTTGGGCAATGGTTCTATGGTAAAGTGATGTTCTTCTTTCGGTTTCCACTCTTCTTTCGTCCAAGGCCTCGATGTCAAACAAGCGCCACTCCGAGCATGTCTTTGTATCCCATTCAAGGTCATTGACAGCCGATACCCTAGCAGTGGGGATGGTGATTTCGACGGGTGATATGGCATCGAAACCGTACACAAGCGAATAGGGTGAGAAACCTGTGGTGCTCCTTGGAGAGGTGCGATAAGCCCATAAAGCATCCGGCAGGTGGATACTCCAGCCTCCCTTATACTCATACACCATGTTGCTTAGGATTCTTAACAAAATTTTATTTGTAGCCTCTGCTTGACCATTTCCTTGCGGATAATATGGCGTGGAGCGACGATGCTTGATACCATAGCCATTAAGTGTCGAACTTACTTGCTTGTTAACAAATGGGGTACCGTTTTCGGTGACGATCTTGTATGGGATTCCGAATCTGCAGACGATGTATTCACAGATGAAATTTGCAATGGCAGCCCCCGTGGCTTTTTGAAGAGGAATTGCTTCAACCCACTTTGTGAAATACTCAGTGGCTGTGAGGATCCATATATAACCATCGGAAGGTGGGTGGATAGTTCTGATCAAGTCAAGCCCCAAGTGTGAAAAGGCCAAGGAGTACGCATGTCCTATAATAACGTGGGAGGCTTGTGACTTAAATTGGCATGAACTTGACACGTATGGCACTTCTTCACGAAATTGTATGCATCATCCTTCATGGTAGGCCAGTAATACCTAACATTTAGCAGCTGCCGATGGAGCCTCTTCATCCCCTGGTGTTCACCACATTCTCCAGCATGAATTTCCTGCATCACTTGCTGCGCTTCTGATTCTCCTAAGCATTTCAAGGGTTCACCATTAAACCCTTTGCGATAGAGAGTGGAACCGTCTATGAAGTATCTCTTCAGTGTCTTTTTGAGCTTGTGGGCATGCTTGGTGTTGCTTGGTAAAATTCCTTCAATAAAGAACGCTAAGTACGGCGCCCTCCAATCTTCCGCAAATGAAATGGTGAATGATTCTTCGGTGGAGGGTATTGTTGCACACTTCGGACAATTGGTTTGAACCTCAGCTGCTTGTTTCTTCATTTCTGGCCAATAATAACCCTTGCGTTGCAGGCGCCGATAGAGGCTGATTATTGGCTCCAAATTGCAAGTGGCTTCATGTACCTCTTGGAGTCTTCTCCGTGCTTCTGTCAGTCCTATGTAGCGAGTCAAAATACCTCCAGGCAGGCGTCTGTAAAGTTCTCTGAAGATAACCACATAGTCCTTCAAATCCTTGATGTTGCTTCCCTCGCTCAACCCTTCCTTCACAAATTTTCTCCAAACTTTTTCCTCCAGCATCCCCTCTTGAGCCATTGCTTCAACTGCCGGAACATCTCTTTTTACTACGGTGATGTTGGGTTGCTCTTGGATGAATGAGAGCTTTGATCCCAACGTAGCCAAGGCATCTGCATACCTATTAGTGACTCCCGGGATATGTTCCAGCAGAACCTCCTCGAAAGAACTGACAAGCTTTTCAGCAGTTGTGCGATATGGCGCTAATGTTGACTCTTTCATAGCAAAGCTTCCTTGTAACTGACTTAGCACCAAATTTGAATCGCCAATGATTTTAATCCTTTCTATGCCCATTTCCTTTGCCGTAGACAATCTCATAATGAATGCCTCATACTCCGCCACATTATTCGTGCATGAGAAATTTAGTTTGAACGAGAGGGCCGTGGCTTGCCCTTCGGGGTTGATGAGTACCACACCTGCTCCTCCACCGTTTGACGTAGAAGAACCATCAAAGTAGAGGGTCCACAGCTCCTCCTCTGTAACAACAGCCACTGTTTCCAGCAGCTCTCCCAGAACCTCCCGAAAGAATCGATCTTTCTTCTTCAGGAAATAGAGAAGCATGTCAATCACGGCTTGTCCTTCGATGGCCCTAGGAGTTGTGCATGTGATATCAAATTCGGACAGCTGCAATAGCCACCGTGCAAGACATCCGGACAGCACAGGTCTTGTGAGCAAGTACCTTACGGGGTCAGACTTCACTACGAGCTGTAGCTTATGAGTGAGAAAGTAGTGACGCAAGCGCTGCGCAGCATAGACAAGGGCAAGGCATAAGAGCTCAGTCGTTGGATATCTTGTTTTAGCTCCCCTTAATTGCCTACTCACATAGTCAATCGGGCCTTCTTTTCCACCATGATCGTCTTGAGCGAGTAAGGCCCCAACCGCTGTATTCGTTGCAGCTAAATAAAGCTTGAGAGGAATGGGTGCTCTCATGGTGGGCAGCTTGGTGATTATTTGTTGTACTTGCTGATAGGCCTCTTGGCATTCCTTGCTCCATTCGTATGGCCTGACCTTCTTAAGTAAGGGAGCAAAAACACTCATAATGGCAGCAAGGCCCGGAATGAAGCGCCGAATATAGGATAATCTCCCCATGAAACTTTTCAACTCCTTTGGATTTCTTGGAGGCGCAAGGGAATTTATAGCTCTTGTCTTTTCTGGATCTATATCTATGCCTGTCTGCCGCGCAAATCTCACGGCCTGGAGTTCCGGGCCGAGGGGATGTGCGTTGACACGCGGTTTTCTGCTTTTGGGTGCGGTGCGGTTGTGCGCGGGCGTGCCAGCACGGTCTACCGTGCGTCGAGATGTTGATGAGTGTAGGATGGATAAGTGGTGCGCCTGTTTGAACTCGTCTTCTAATCAAACGATTGTAGCTGAGAGAGGAACTAGTCTCGGCTGTTAGGTTCACGGCCTGAACTACAAGGCCGTTTAAGTGATAGTGTTGGTGGTGGGTTTTGGGCGGTGCTCCGGCGCGCTGCTCAGGGAGCGACGGTCGTATGATATATGGGGTGAGGGAACGAACAACAGAGATGGTGCTCCGGCGCCTTGAAAATCAAGGGTCGTTGTTGTGTAGATTCAGCTGCACCAAAATGGATTAAGCTGCATCCTCAACTTGTGATACTCGCAAGTGCACGAGCCGTTCGGTAGTATAGC